TGCCAACCAATTTTTTTTCAGTATTCACTGAGCTCAGGCTGCCTTTGCTCATGAATTTTCTCTTGCCACTTGGTGGGTTAGTGAATGAGTCATTGGGCTTGTTCAGTTTGCTTGTCCATTTAGCAGTTGTTACAAAGTCCCCCTTAAGCATATGGTCCTAATTACCACCGGGGCCCCAGGGACCACCTTGACCATGAGGCAGAGAGTGCTGAATGCAAACTTTGACATGCCCACAGGGCCTCCTCTTCCTAACACCCTCCCCAAGGGCAGGGCTCAGCCAGCTCCCTGAGCTTGCAGGACCTTGGTTCTGTTGTTACTCCTGATGGTGATCCTCAAAGAATCATACTTGCCCGGATTCACCGTTTCTCCTGCTCTCTTCTACTGGTGGTCCCATGGGGAGAGCCTGGCCCTAGCCCCACTTTTAAATGTGCCATAGGGCACGTGTAATATTAAAACACATCAGGGAACTGGAGAAGGTGAAGGCCACGCTAAACCCTTGACCCTTGCCTTGTGGATTCAAATAATTTGGGGGAAAAAAAAAAAAACTTCCATTCAAAAGTATAGAGTGACACGTAGTGAAATATTCATTGCATTGGTAACCTTGCCTTAAAAGCACACACAGCTTATGTAAGTGTGTGGCTTTATAATAATCTGGGCCTTTGTTGCAAAAGAGCATTTCAGAAGGGAAAAAAAGTAACAGGAACCGATCGACATCTTGGAAGTGCTATAGATTCCAAAGATGTCAAATTGTTGAGAAAAAGTAATATAGTTATTAAAATTATAACAACCACTTCCAGTTTTAAACGTTTAAAAATGATTAACTCTACTGTTAGATTTGCTGCCAATTCACCAAATTGGATGTTTCATTGTACCTGGGACACAATTTCCAATTGGTTTTATTTTGAGTGCCAAATCATTTGTTGAATGAATATGCAGTTTCTCATTGCAGAATTACTGGATGTTGTTCCAGTTTGTTGAGAGAATCTGTGGGATGAGGTCATGGCCCTGGAGCTGCCACTTCTGAGCCTCTGTTCCCCATCTGTTACATAGGTTAATAGTAACAGTTGTGAAATGTTAAAAAAAAAAAAAAAAAAGGCATGTTATATAGGATTAGGAATTACTGGACACATTACATCAGGAACTGTAAGAAACACTCACACCGTCCCCAGGCTTGTACACTGATGCATGCAGGAGGCAGACAGGAGGCTGCCCGGCCATCGAAGGTCCCAGAGATTCAGGTTCTGAAAGCTCCAGTTCAGCCGCTCATCAGTGTGTCCCACAGTCCTCCTGGGTGCTTCACAGCCACAGAGACGGGCAAGTTTCCGCGAGTAGTAACAACTTGATGAAAAGTAAGTTCTGTTTCTTTAAGTGGAAGTGAAGGGGGGATAATGAGATATGGTAACATGGTAGAAAACAAAAGTGTCAAATTCGGTCCTACACTCCATCGGAGGAGGTAGAAAACAGAATCCCTTTGTAGCTGCCTGGGTCCTGACAGTTGGATGTCCTTTAGCTCATTATCGGAACCGAGCATAGATTTATATAACTCATTACCTAAATAAGGTATTTTTTTTAAAGATTTTATTTATTTATTTGACATCAGAGATCACAAGCAGGCAGAGGCAGGCAGAGAGAGAGGAAGGGAAGAGGCTCCCTGCTGAGCAGAGAGCCTGACTCGGGGCTCGATCCCAGGACCCTGAGATCATGACCCGAGCTGAAGGCAGAGGCTTAACCCACTGAGCCACCCGGGCACCCCAATAAGGTATTTTTAAATGCAAGCTCGTCATGGTTTACCTTACAGATGATTTCCACATTAAGGGATATTCAACTTCCAGCTTCATATGTTTTCTCAAAGAGGGATAATACCCATTTCCCACAGTTCCATGTGGAAGGGTGTTTGTAAGTGCAGATGAGACACCACGTGAGAAAGGCTTTTGAACTGAGATGGCCTGGGTCCCCCAGGTCGAGACTAGCGCTGTGTGGGTCCAGCAGCCGAGTCTACCTTCCTCACAGAGCCTGGCCTCATGTCTTGAAGTAGATCTCTCACCATAAGCAGCCTGGGGTCCACTGTAACCCTTGGTTTCCCTTGTCCCTCTAGTGTCTAGATGAAGGCTCAGGTGAAAGTCATGCCCAGAAGCCGCATCTGCCCCATTTTGGTTCCTAATTGGCCCAATTCAAAGGAAGCCCTTTCCAGCAACTTTTGCATGGACTTCCAAGGAAAAGAAGTAAAGCTGAAGGGAATAACTTAAAAGAAGAAAGGCAATCCCCAAAATAGCAAGAGGGAGCAGAGTGCTCCCCTCTGGAAGGTGCATTGCATCCGGCCATCTGGCTTGCTGAAGACCCCAGAGCCAGGAGGGCTTGGTTCATATCGGTGCCCTCAGCCTGTGGGGAAGGAGAAGCTGAGGAATAAGGACTCCCCCAGGAGCCGTCGTCAGGGTCTAAAGTAATAAGTGACATTGCCTGAGCCAGCTTGTTCCCCTCCTGCCCTCAGTGACTTTATGTCTAGGCCTGTTGACGTCAGGGGCATGGCTGTCCTTTCAGGGGTCGAGATAAGAAAGGAACAGAAGAGATCTGCATCCACCTTTCTAAAGCCCTGTTTCCAGTCCTTGCCTCACTTCTGACGTTCATGTGAGACCAGAGAGAAGTACATCTTTTCCCGGCTCCTCTAGGCATGTCTTTTCCAGGCTCTCGTAGGGCATACCCTGGAGCAGATCACTGTGACTCTCTGTTCCATGTGTAGCTGAGGACCCAGATGCACAGACCCCATCCAGCAGACCAGGTGCACCCCTGTCCCGAGAGACCTCCTGCAACCTAAGTACTGGGGCCTTGAGCAAGGGCATTTGCTAAGAAAGTCACAAAGAGGTTTCCAGAGTGTAACTCCTATTTTAACCTAGGTCAAGGGTCAAAACTTTTTGGAAAGGGCCATATAGAGCTTCTTTTAAGCTCTCTGGTACAAGGGACAAAATTAGCGATGTACTGAAAGAGATATTTCACAAAGATTTCTATTGAGAAAATTCTAATTCTAATACCGTAATTTCTGTAACAGATGTAACAAGAAGAGTAGAATTCTTTATTTGGTGGGGAGAGCATTCACTTCATTGGGCTTCAGAGTCAGCGTTCCCCATGACCAAGATCCATGGCAAGTGTTCACCCCTTGATGCTGATTGATGGGCAATGAGATTTTTCTCTTTTTTTGTTAATTTTAAAGATTTTATTTATTTTAGAGAGAGGGAGCATAAGCAAGGGGGTAGAGGGGCAGAGTGGAGGAAAAGAAGCAGACTCCCCACTGAGCAGGGAGCCCGAGGTGGGACTCGATCCCAGCACTCTTGGATCATGACCTCAGCTGAAGGCAGACGTTCACCAACTGAACCCCCAGGCACGTCAAGATTTTCTCTTTGAAAGTGTCTTTTCATATGCATTGGTACTGCCAGATTTTGGTTTCAGTCCACAAGTTTCTGATTGTAGTTTTAACATGTTCATTACTTGGAAGACACTTATGGAATTCTGTTGGATTCTTCTGTTGGTATTTGTCCTTTAAGTATGTTCCTGCAGTGTAGATGAGTGTCTTCTGGTTGACAGGTGGCGGCTCCTCAGTTACAGTTAAATAGGTCTTGAACAGTTCAGACACCACTGGAGGAACTCCTTTTGGAGCTTAGAAATCGTACCAGTGCAAGTTTACGTGAGAAGGCAGATCTCGCTGCTGCTCTTGATTCTAACGGCACGGAAAGCCAGGGAAGGAGTTTGATGTGACTTGTGGTTCTGACAATGTCACTTGTTGCTGAGGAGGCTAATGCCGTGTATGTTTTGCACATAGGAGATATTTTTGCCTATAATTTTAGGTTGAATTCACTGAGAAACATTATCAAGTCTGCAGCAAAAGCTAATTTCCAGAATCCTTTAAACCTCAGTAATAGTGGTTGAGGCACTTTTTCTTATAAAGAAAAATTTCAGTCTTGGCTTTGAACTCAGAGCAGTGGTTAAGTCCATGGACAGAAGGTCAAGTTCACTGTTGACATGGTTCAGTCACAGGTAATAATCAATTTGGTGGTGTTGTGATTTGGTTTGTTTTGTTTGTTTTGTTTCATTTTGTTTTTTGGCAAAGTACCTGCCATATGGAGAAGAGCTTTAAACACCTTCTATCTCACAGGCTGTGTAAATCTGTCGTATGTGTGTGTTTACCACCAGCATTTACATGATCTTAGCGGGTCTCCCCTCGGGTTGTACTGCATTAGTGTTTCCTCAGCTTCTGTGCACACGCTGTCACTGCTGCTTGTTGTGTGAGGACCCGTTGGAGCCTGATTTCTCTGCCACTTCAAACTCGGTCCCAGCTCAGTTCCATGTCAGGGACCTCGGTGACCCAGGAGCCCAGAAGACTGCTCACTCAGACGCTGGCCTTGCTTTTCAACTGTCCGCGGACCTCACTTTCGGCATCCTGACTCCACAAGCAGCCGTCCTCCCCGAGTGGCTCATGGTGTTCCACGAGCTTCTATCCTCTGGACGTGTGTCTTTGCTGCAGGGAGTGAGCTCACTGTTGGCAGATGGCCCTCCTTGCTGGGTGTAACAGGAGGCGGCCCCCAGGAACTTCCAGTGGTTGTAGCCTTCTTTTCCTTTCTTTTGTAAAATTCTAGAACTGGATTCTGTTTAAATTCTTGCTTTGCCCTGACTGTTGCTTTCCTGCAAGTGGGGGACAACATCACAAGAACTGCTTGTCTGGTAACGCCGACCTCTAGCCTAGTCTTGCGACACAGCCACAGAGACCTTGCATCCCAGAGTGCTGAGCCACCTGCCAGGTTGGAGAGTGAGCTACACCCCACTGGGTCTGCAGAGCACACGGAGCCCGCTTTCCCCGTCTTCACAGGACGGGTGTGCACTGGTGAGAGAACAAAGTGACGTGCACTCAGAATGCTGCTTGCCGCGGATGTGTGCACACCGCACAGGGACGTGGACACATTAGACCGCCGCACCACGCACCGTGTCACTCCTGCGCAGCTCAGCCCCAGAATGGACCCAAATGAGTGAGCGGGGCCGTGTCACAGCGCTACTCTATTTGTGGACGCGGACATTTGCACTTCGTGTGATTCCCATGCGTCCTGCAATATCCTTTTGATCGTGTCCCCTACTGTTTGAAAAGGTAAAAACTGTTCTTATTCTCAGGCTGTCCGATGTGGTACGATGTACAATTCCAGTGGTGAACTGGAACTGGGCCAGGGGCCGTGTTTGCTGACTCCCGATCAAGATGCCTTTGCCATCACGGGCACGGAAGGAACACTGGTGACAGATGAGGAGGGGGGCGTGACTACCACATGGGACAGGTTTGGGTTTCCCCTCGAGAAGCTGCCCGCCCCTGTTTGCCAGTTGTTCACAATTCAGCCCTGAACTTGAAACTGAATTGGAAGAAACGAATCAAAAGTTTGCTGGGCATGATTCTCATTTGGAAAGTCTACAACTTTTTTTTTTTTTGTACATTCTGGAGGGAAATGTCTACCATGTTTGCAGACTGGTTTGCTCAGTGTTGCTTCTAGAAGGCTTCCTTCATCTATGATGTAGACATTTGTGACATCTCGCCCAGACGTCTTCCCACACCACTGTCCTTCAGTAACGATTCTGTGTATTTCAAGCTTCCACGCTTTGTCCTTTCCCCTTCCTGACCTCGGGTCCCTATTACCCTGCGTTGAATTTACGTGGGTTTGTTCAGGTCCCCAGTTTCGGGCTCTGGGGAGCTGGGCACTCCGCACTTGCGCAGGCTTCTTTCTAACTGAGTCTAGCCTTCGTGCCTCCCACGGTTCTTTCCTCTCTTTTTTTCCCTAGTTCTTCAAACTTAGAATTCTAACACTTTGTCAGCTTTGTCCTGTGGTTTGCCCCCTGGAAAATTCCCTGAGACCGTAACTCCCAGGGAGGTTTTCTCTCAATTCCTCATCCTCTGGCCCTTTTCTGCTTTCCCCTGCCTAAAGAATCGTCCCTTGAGGTGACGCAGACAAGGGGCAGCTTCCTTGATGCTCAGGTAGAGCGTGAGAACTGATTGTTTGCTTCTGGCTCTCCTGCCAAGGAGCGGGATGGGGGTGGGGAACAAACACCATCACCATGATGCTGGATCGCAGCGAGTCAAATTTTCTGCTTGTTTCTAAAGGCTCCCCCACTGGTCCAAGACACAGTTACCCAGTCACCCAGATCCGCCTCTTGTGGTACAGACGTGCACAGTGGGCCTGTATCCCAGATGCCTGCTCACTGTCCCAGCTCTGCTCAGGCATGAGCCGTGTTCCCGCGAAGCAGAAATGTCTGCAATTCTCTGTTCATTTTGAGGTGCGTCTCGACACTGGTTTCCAGGCAAGCAACTAACCTCACTAATGACACACATTGGGGCCAGACGCATGCTTACATTCAGCTGGTGCTTTGCCCTAAACCCACATGAAGTCTGCTTTGGGGGAGCTGGCCTGGATAAGAGAGAACCTTGAAGACTGCATTTGATTGCAAGAATGTTCTTCCCATGACCTGAGTGAGCCTGTTGAAAGAGAATGCCTTGAGGACACGTAGCCAGCGTTAGGCTCTCACTACTGCTGCTAAGATCAGTTCTGTTTTTGCCCTTGAGTAGATGACCAGAATGGAAACAAAATGGAAACAAATAACAAGCTTTTATATTTTCCCTGTTTTAAGATATAACTTACAGAGGATGAAATGCACTCATTGTTAAGAATGTGGTTTGGTCAGTGTTGATGATTGCCTACAGCATATAATCATCACCACAATCAAGATACAGAACGGTTGCATCCCCTAAAATGTCCCCTATGCCATCACCCCGGACTTGGCCCAGCTAGTCCCCTCCCCCAACTCCAGCTGCAGCTTCTCTAGAACGTTAAAAGTCGCTTCAGTCACTTTCATTCATAGAGGGCTGTTCAAGTTGTCGATTTCCTTGTGGGTCAGTTTTGGTCACCTGTGTCTTAAGGCTTTTGTTCGTGTTGTCCAGCGGGTCACATTTATTGGCATGAAGTTGTAGATGGTGATTCCTTACTATCCCCTTAAGGTCCATAGGCTACGTAGTGATAGCCCTCTCTCAGCTTATCATGTACTGATTTTACAGAGGAAATTGAGAGTACGACGTCATGTACTCTTTTCTTCATAAGATCCACTTTCTTGTCCTTCTGTTTTCTCTCCCTAAACTTTCACTCGTGTGGTGGAACAGAAGAATGTGAGCCTTGAGATACCCGGTTTTACACCAAAGCTCAGCCACGCACTAGCTCTGTGACCGCGAGCAGATGGCTTCCCCACACTGAGTCCATCTCGTGCTCTGTCCTGCATGTGTCGTGGGGCGTCCTGTGCGGGTGTCTCCAGGTACCACAAGTGGGGTGTTGAGTGCTCAGCCAGCACAGCTGCCTTGCAGATGGATGGCATGCGGTGTCCCCCACGTCATGTTGCTCAGACGAGAGCGAGGGAGGATAATATTGAGAGCCTCTTGAAGCCTTTCGTTTTCTCTCCATGTGTGTCTCACATTTGATACAATTAGAATCCTGAGTTTATGCACTGTGGTGAACATTACTGAAACATGGTTAACTCTTTATCTAGAAATTCTGCTTTGAACAGAGTATATCAGTACGAGCATTACTGAGAATGATTTCTGAACAAGGAAACAAGATTAAAACCCCAAGACTTGAAACAGAATGGCAGAAATGAGATTCCTTATCATTGATCTATGTGTTATTTAAATGTGTTTCCGTTTCGTGTTTCCGTTTCATGTTTCCTCAGGTCCTTGATTTTCCCGTTCCTGATCCGAGGCGGAAAGCCCATGCCCTTGTACACGTTTGCATTGGCCTTCATGTTCTGTGGCTACAATGGCTACTTGCAAAGCAGATACCTGAGCCAGTACGCCGTGTATGCTGACGACTGGGTCACAGATCCCCGATTTCTAGTAGGTGAGTGTCCCCCTAAGGATGTACTCCGTTGTTCTCATCAGAACCTGGGTTTTCATGTCCCCGCAGTTCCTGGTTAGAAAGCCCATGCTCCTCGAGAGAGAGAGGAGGCGGTGCTGGTCCACGACCTCGTGGCAGCAGGCCGAGCACCAGAGGGAGAGGCACATGGCCCCAGCAGCAGCATATGATGCACATGCCTGCCATCACCCCCGACTTGGCCCAGAAAGCATGAATACCTGTTCCTGAAGCAGGCCTCAGAGTAGCAACAGGTTCTGGCAGAGCGGACGACAGAGGGAGACTGAGGAGCTCTCAGTAACCATGTAATCTAAGACCGTCATTAAGCTCCCACTGTTCCTAATGGAAAATGAGAAAAGTCCAACTGGGTCACCTTCCAACAAGGCCGTTAGAGTTTCCTGATTATGCTAACTTGCAGAAGCTATTAGGTCTTGTGAAGTTTTTGATTTTTTAAAATCTTTATTATTTTTGAGTTCTAACTAAAGCCTTATAAGTTCTGAGGAAAAATGAAAATAAAACATCAGTAGTCAAAAATATATGCAAGAGTGTAAAAAAAAAAAAACCCTCGAGGCTCCTGGTGATGAGGAAGTTTCTTCTGAGTTTCAGAGAGTCCCGTGGCTCTTTGGCTCTTGGTTTAGTGCTTCCTGGAAAGGAGCCTGGGCCAAGTCTTAAGTCCTACTTCCGAGCACACCAGTCATCCCGTCAGAACATTTGGAGCAGACTAGTTGATTTACTGGTATTATTAGAAAAACAAAGCCCTCTTTTGCAGACCTGAGTGCAGCACTTACGTCTCTAAGGAAAGCATTATATTTATTACAATGATCTTCACTATCAGTTGGGGTGACCTGGCTCCTTAGTAACGATAATTGGGCGGATTGGGGTCATCCCATTCATTCCGGCTTGGGCCTGGGGGTTTCCTGGTTTATGGACTCAATGCTGCTCTCTATTGCCTTTTCTGTAGGATTCTGCCTGTGGTTAATAGGCATGCTGGTAAACATCCATTCAGACCACATCCTGAGGCATCTCCGGAGACCAGGGGAGACTGGGTATAAGATACCGAGGGGTATGTACTGAAAACAGGAGACTTGATGCCAGACTGTCGGCAGGACACCTTGCTCTTTCAGTTTTATCCGATCCAATAACTAATATCTAGTCACAGCCACAAATTTTCGATGTGAGTCACAATTACGATAGCAATCACTGTGGTTATTGTTTTCTTAGAATGACAGAAGAGCTGATTCTGGCTAACCGAGTGGCTAATAAGCAAAAAGGAAACTAGTTGTATCTGTTTGGAAAGAGAATACGAGGAACAACTTATGGTTTACCAGGGGTGCCCAATACCTCATTTCTGGCCATAGCAGGAATAGACGACTGGTACTCTGTCTGAAAACAGTTAAAAATGTTGGATACATGTTGTTGTTTTTATCTTTTAAAATGCATCTGTGTGATGTCCAGAAATGAAGTCAGTCATCAGAGAGCAAGGGCTGGGTGAATGCTTGAGTCCAGGACCCAACTCGTAAGAGTCCGTAACCGCTAGCTGCCCTCATTGCCTCAGCTTTGTAGCCCAAATGTTTGCCAACCGTGGACAGTCCGAAAACCTCAAGTCACGAGTTAGGATCCGTGTGGTCCTAGGGAGGGGGTGCCCTCCTGCATCCAGTCCGCACAAACCCAGATCCCCAAAGAGACCTGTCTTCAACTCTAGCCTCTGAGAGCCTAGCAGGCCACACGCCACAAAATAAGAGCCACAAAACCCACGAGGACATATGGTGCCTTGAGTGAGAGCTAATTAAACTTGGGAAATTTTAGATCTTAGAGTTAATAGAAACAGATCATGAAGTGAATATCTAGTTGTTTAAATAATTAAAAGGGATGAAATTATGAAAAAAAGAGTAACATACCATAGAAAGAACTAAATAGATACAAGATAGAAAGCAAGGGAGATCCTCAAACTAAAAAAAAAAAAAAAATTTAAGACTCAGTGGGTAGAACTAAAACATCAGTGGAACAGGAAATCACAGGGCCGGGCTTGGATTGGAATCCTTATCTTCCTGGGAACCCTACAAGGGGAAAACACAACACGACAAGCAAAGGACGGGAAAAAGCCTACAAATCTCAGGTTGTTTAAACTGTGGCTCTAAGGTGGTCCTTGGAGTGCGCCCCTCTGCTCTCCAGCCTCAGAGCCTTTGCTGCCTGGAGACCCCAACACCAACCCAAACCTCACCTACCAGCGAGGCCCCTTCCAGCCACGGCCGCGACCAGCCCTCCCTCCGCCCATAGCCCGACTTCTGGGCCCTCCCACATGCTCTGCTCCACAGCACTCCCCACCACGTGCTGGGCTCCGTGCTTTCCTCGCGGGCTGCATCGGGGTTTAGCGTTCCAGAAGGGGACATGGTGTTGTCCACAGTGCACTCCCAGTGCCTAGAGCAGGGCCTCACCTGTCGTGTGGACTTGAAGGATCTGTGAAAATGGATGACTGAATGAATGAATCTGCCCTTGAAAATTACTATTTTCTTCCAATTTGGGTCTAGGCCTCTGTGCAGGTCCGTCTGATTAAGCTAGTCCTTCACTGTTCCTCTGTGGTCTCCGTCCCTACTTAGGTTCCATCTGTGGGATTCACTGATTAGTCAAGTGACATAGTAAAGTACACGAAAATTGTAGCATTTTATATTCAGATGAACGGTACGTAGTTACTGCCAGAAATCGTAAGACGAAATGGTAGAACTAGTACCGTTGGGTGTGTTTCATTGGTCACAGTTCTGGACCAGTCGTGTTTCCCAGGGCTGAGCTGGTGCTCTCCAAGTAGGCGCCCACGGCTGTCGTCGGTCAGTGCTTCCCTGGGCGGGCGTCGTCTGTGGGAAACGCATCCCTTGCCTGTGTCTCCTTGCAGGAGGCTTGTTTGAGTACGTGACGGCAGCCAACTACTTCGGGGAGGTGGTGGAGTGGAGCGGCTACGGCCTGGCCAGCTGGTCCGTCCAGGGCGGGGCCTTTGCGCTCTTCACCGCCTGCGTCCTCGTCACCCGGGCCCAGCAGCATCACCAGTAAGTTCGCGAACACTGTCCGCATGCTGGCTCTGTGCTCTGACCGTACCATAACCATTCTCAGGTTCCGTTCTCGAAACGTTCACATTTGTTGGAACTGCCGGATCGCAGGGTACACCGGGCATTAGCTAACCGAGTCCACAACCACGCAGACGTCCAGAGAAGACCCTGCTCTGAGAACCGCCGGGCGCACGTCAGCGTTGCCCTTGGCTGCGCCCGAGTCTGAGCCCCTTCAGACGTTTGCGGCTGGAGCCCAAGGTCCCGTGAAGCTTTGGGCAGGGGTCTCGTGGTCTGGCCAGGAGCACGCCGTCGGCAGGATGTCGAGTGCCCACAGCTGGGCCCGGAGGCGCACGCCGAGTGCGGAAGAAGCCCGGCTGGGCCCTCACGCAGCCCCTGCACATGAGCGCCCCACAGCCCTGCAGACCTGCGGTCACTGTCTGGACTCCCAGGCTGTGAGCACCGTCGAAATCGCATTGTTTCCCAAGGCGAGGGGCCCCGGCCTGTGTCAGATCCTCCAAACAGCCTGTGATCTCGAAGACCAGGACAAACTCATAAAAACCAATCCAAGGCTGTCAAAGCTGAAGCGAACCTAGGGTAGCGCCCTCCCAGTCCGACACATGAAGGGACTGAGGCTCAGGGAACAAAGTCCCAGCTTTTCAGATGGGAGAGGTCTCGGGCCATCCCCCGAGGCCACAGCAATGATGGAAACCGGGCAGGCGGCTCACGCCAGTGCCCATGGGGATCATTTGTGTCCCCTGAGCTAGAAAGGGCGCTGCCCCCCTTCCCTGGCTGCATTGCCCCAAACACATTTCGTGAAGCTCTCCGATGCCGCCCATACTCTCAGAGGCACACATAGACACAGAGCATCGTCTGACTCCACGGCGCCTGCCATCTCTTGAAATGGGGCAGAGAGAAGCCCCCAGAAGGATAGACTGATGTCATGGCATCGTGGGATGCACGCAGACTTTTCAGAATCAGAATTCCTAGGTTTCTTTCTGGGCTCACCATGTATTTTAAGATGCAGAGGATTATTACCAGAGACACTGCGGAAAACGGGCAGAGCTGGAAGGTCCTTAGCTAGGTTTTGTAGATCATATGCCGAAAGCCCGAGATTATTGAGATCATAGGAGAAGAACCCTCCAGCGCTCCATGCTTTGAGGTGCCCCACTCTGCTCCAGACAGTGGGGGATCTGAGAGCTGAGACCTGTCCCTATGCCGGAGCTGCAGAGGGGGACAGAGGTAAGGAAAGCTCACACCAAGAAAGGCTCAGGAAACAAGTTACAGCGTCGAAGGTGACAGGAAATGAAACGATTTGCTATGATGGGTTGAATTGGGTTCTCCCCCCACCCCCCAAAAAAGATGTTGCAGTCTTGACCCTGCAAATGTGACCTTATTTGGCAATAGGGGTCATCGCCATCGCAGATATAATTAGTTAGGGAGGTCACGCTAGAGTAAGCAAGCCTCTGAGCCAGCAGGCCTGGTGACTTTCTTAGGAGAGAAACTGCACACGTGCACACAAGGACGAGAAGACCACGTACAGACGGCCGTGTTAAGTGCGGAGGCAGACCGTGTGGTGATGCTGCCACACACCCCCGAGGCTGCCAGCAGCTGAGAGAGACAGAGAAGGAGCCTCGCTGAGAGCTTAGGAGGCAGCACGGTCAGGCATCTGACCCCCGGAACTGGGAGAGAATAAATTCCTGCCTCTTTGGAAGCCCCTAGCGTGTGGGCCTTTGTTGCAGAAGCCCCAGGAAGCCAAGACATGGCCTTTGAGCCACCCAGAATCCGCTGGGCTGTAAGGAAAGACAAAGGCAACATGTGTGAGTTCTGGACCCCTGCGTTTCCTCCTGCCAGATGACGCCACGCCAGCCTGTCCCCAGAGCTCATGCTGCTGCAGGATGCGTCTGCCCAGGTGGGAACCAAGCCTTTTGGAGAAAAAAGTAACAGTGACAGCAATACCAGTGAATCTTGGTCCAGCCCAGCAGTCCTATGTTCCTGGGGACCCCTCCTGCCCCCATTCCTCCCTTCCATCCACCCTTCCCTCCTCCTCCCCAGGCAGGACCTCCCCACCAAGACTGCCTTCCCATCGCTCACATCGCCTCTGAGGAACAAGCTACTCTTGTGTGTTAGTTCCGTGAGGGAGTAGGAAGCGGATGTTGGCTGGTTTCTAGTAATGGAGAAATGAGACGGTACTGGTAGCTGAGAAGTTGGATCACAGGAAGATTGAACAAGAGCCGAGTTGGTGGTAAAGACGCTTCCTCAAATGAGCATGGGAAACTCTCTCTTGACATTTGAGTAGGAGATATTCAAATTTCTAATGGAAAATATTAATATTCTATCATTTGAACAGGAAATAGAAATAATTTCATTTTGAAATTTGAATTTGAATGAACGTCTCTATTAATAAAAACCCAAAGGTATTCTTTGCAGAAAGCTTCACGAGTTGAAAGGATTCTTTTTCATTCATTTGCTATTTATACTGATGTCACTGCAAAACCAATTTTAATTGCCAGAAATTTAATGAATTCAGCTTAGTGGAAGTATGTTTGGAAATGTTGATTTACCAGCTGAGGACAAAGGAAAAGCTATCTTTTTTTTTTAACTAATCCCACAAATCCAGCTGATTACAGAAAACAATCCATGGGGCTATTCCTAGCCCTCTTTTTGGTGTATTATGATGTTCTCAAACCAGTGTTTTATTACACCCAGTTTATTTCCATAATCGGATGTGAAATGTTTAAATTCGTAGAGAATTATACTGACCATGAAGCGCTAGGTCGGAAACATTGGGTCAGCTGTGCCAAGTTGCTAACAGATACAGTGGTTTGAGGGCAAAATGTCAAGGAATAGGAAAGAGGAATGTTTTCAGACTGTTCTCTCCACTGCCAGCCTCAAGCCGCGCTCACATAAGGGAGCTGCCCTGGCTTAGACGCGCTCCTGCGGCGCCTGGCCAAGGGGTCGTCTGAGCCCAGGTGCGTGCTAGTCCACACCAGGGTCCTGCAGGTGAGGCCAGCCTTCGGGGACAGCCTTGGAGGAGGGGCTCTGTCGAAATAAAAAATAGTGTGTAATGTCACTTAGAAAACTGAAGTCCGTGTGTCTTTGGGATGCAATGACAGATGGCGTCGGGACCTAGACAGATAAAGACCCACCAGAATGAGTCTGTGAAGGACGTCCTTGTTCCCACAGCAGAGCGCGAGGTCTGTGAGAGCTTGGAAGGAACGAGACTCGCGGGAGAGGAGCACAGGGCACTGACCCCGCTCGTGGGCCGGAAAGACCACTGGTGCTTGGAAGAAGAATTCCAAGAACTGTGTCTGATTCAGCCTAAACCACATGCGATGACATGGGCAGCCTTCAGTGACGGGTTGCCTTAGTTTCGACCTCAGTTCGGGCTCCACGTGATAAAATCAAGACAAAAAAATCCGTATCCAGCTCTGGTCAGTGTCGCATAAGTGACAGCTTTGATTCTAGGGATAGAACACGTGAGAAAAATATGCTGCCTGCCCTATTAAAAATGTGTGTGTGTGTATATATAATATACATACACATATTTATAAATTTCGAGATATGATTTCTCGAGCTGGATCGACAAACGTCATGATGTACATGAATGAGAAAAGTAGTTTAATCATTTTAGCAAAGTTAGTTTTATTCCTATAGAATGGTGTCTATGAAATGAATCGAATGTATTTGGCAAACCTCTGTATTGGGTGAGAACATTTCGATCTGATAAACATCATGAGGGGCCAGCCGTGCTGCCCTGTGCTGCTTCTGACCATCCCAGAGGGGTGTGTGGGCATCACCGGCCCGGTCTTGCTGGTCTGAAGGTGTCACTGGCTTCCAGGCTGGTGCCCGGTCTCCGAGAAACCTGCTTGTGGTCCAGGTCCTCAGTGCCAGCAGGCTGAGTGCCTTCCGGTGGCTGTAACAGAAACACTGTAGATGGGGGGTGGCTGGCAGAAGTCTGAGGTCAGGGGCCAGTGTGGTGGAGCTCCAGTGACAGCCCCTGCTGGCTGTACAGTCCAGTCCCCTCCTGCACTTCCCTCAGCGATGAAGGGCCATGGAGCTCTGGGGGATCAGGACACAGATCCCATTCCTGAAGGCTTCACCCCATGACCCAATCCCCTCTCAGAGGCTCCACCTCCTAGCACCGCCTCCTCAGGCATCAAGTTCTTAGCCTAGGAATCTGGGGCGGTTACGCAGGGGGAACACTAGGGCCAGCCTTCAAGAACTTTCTGTGAGCAGAGAGGAGCTGAGTATGGCACTGGCCAATCTGCTCCACGCTGCTGACACAGCAGCCACCTCAACGGGGGCGCTCCGGTGTCTGGGCTCCTCACAGTCTGGAAGAGAACAGCCCCGTGTCGGAAGTGATGCTTGCTCCCGAGGCCCGCAGCCCAGCTTCAGAGCGCGTGGCCCCCCCAAGGGCACAGGACAGCATATGCCCTCCCCAGGGGCTCAGGACAGCGCGTGGCCTCCCTGGGGGCACAGGACAGCGTGTGGCCTCCCCGGGGACGCAGGACAGCGTGTGGCCTCCCCGGGGACGCAGGACAGCGCGTGGCCTCCCTGGGGGCACAGGACAGCATGTGGCCCCCCCAAGGGCACAGGACAGCATATGCCCTCCCCAGGGGCTCAGGACAGCGCGTGGCCTCCCTGGGGGCACAGGACAGCGTGTGGCCTCCCCGGGGACGCAGGACAGCATATGCCCTCCCCGGGGGCTCAGGACAGCGCGTGGCCTCCCTGGGGGCACAGGACAGCACGTGCCCTCCCCGGGGGCTCAGGACAGCACGTGGCCTCCCCAGGGGCTCAGGACAGCGCGTGGCCTCCCCGGGGATGCAGGACAGCCTGTGGCCCCCCGGGGGACAGGACAGCGTGTGGGTTCTCTGGAGGCTCAGGACAGGGCAGTGTGCGGAGGCACCCGCGGCCGGCTGAGGGGCTGCAGTTCCCCATCGGGTCCGCCAGCGCAGGGTGAAACATGGCAGAAACCAACACATTTTGTCAATTCCCTGTCAGGTTGCCTTCATGATGCGTTTCTGCCATGTGAGCTCATAGTCGCTTCCCATCATGATGCTTCATCTGTTTATCTTTTGTGATGACGGAAACTCCTTGTTTCTGGCAATTTCTCCATCTTGTCAGGTCATTGTAAGTGTTCACTCCATCCACGTAGCTACCTCCCTCCCTAGCTAGCCTCTACCCCAAAACAAATAGAGGGGACTTGTCATTTATATCAAAGTGGAAAATGCGTGTTTGTTCTGAATGCCGGGCCCTGCTGCATCTTCCCAGATTTGTCTGAGAGCCCCTGGCACGCACCCAGGTGACTGTTCCACAGACCGGGGGCTGGAGCCATAGCTCTCCTGGGGACTGCGGACAACCAGAAAACATCCAGAAGAAGACCTTCGAGACACTCCTCCTGAGTGAATTAAATGGGTTTCTTCCTATGAATCATGCTTTAGAATAAAATATATTTAGTTATTCATTATAGAGACAAAATCAAACTACATATCTGAAATGCCACAGTTTTTAGTGTTACTCCTAAAAATCTCCGTATTCCTGCATAATGAAGTGTTGTCCGTTTTGTCAGCATCTAAATGTTTAAGCAGCAAAATTATTTCTTTTTCTTACTGTTCCTTTTTTGTCTTATTTTAGGTGGTATCTTGAGAAATTTGAAGATTATCCAAAGTTCAGAAAAATTATAATCCCATTTTTGTTTTAAGTCCATTGTCCATGGAATGATCTTTGACTTGAAGCATTTCATGATTATATAAATGAATTATGTCTCTGTCGTTTTCCTGCTACTGGATCTTTTTCAAGAATTGCTGTAGGAATTATTCCCTGTGAGTCTATAAGCTACCTAATAACAGACTAATCAGACTGAAATGCAGGTTGACAGACTGGGCTGCATACCGAGTGGAGAATCCAGTACTCTGGGTCATCCCAGCGGACCCTTTATCTGCTTTTGGAGCCTCCTGTTGACTACGTACAGCTAAGTGTGCGTAAGACCAGAATGACAAGCCGTATCTGGTGGCCTCTGTGGGCTGAAACCCATCACTGCCCCTCATACAACCCATTCCAGCCATCAATTCAAGGCCAAAGGCGACGTTGCTCCCTCCCCTGATAAAGGCAGGACTGCCTCTCTGGTTCCTCTCATCCCGCTGGGTCAGAGAGGCTGGGGCACCCACGGTGGGTCACAGACCCAGGGAAATGCCTGGGCCCTCACTGTGCGTGCTGTTGGGCAGGGAACTTGGGGCAGAGAAAAAGACATAGGAGACCTGGCTGATGCCTGGACAAAAGGCATCTGGCACTTTCTACAGCCTGGCACCCCAGCTGACTGCACTGCAGGGCATGGTGCCAGCTGTGCTCGTAAGGGGTAGGCCGCTCTGTCCTCTACTCAGATGACTTCTTAGAGGCCCCGTGATTATGTTCCTCCTTATGCTGATTGCCAGGGGCATCAGTAGTCTGTGGTCTAAGATGTTTTTTTTTTCCTTCTGCGTAGAATGAGGATGTTATAAGGCACTCTTTTTAAAGTGCCCTCAATATTACAAAACAGTACCTTGAAACAGAATTTCTTACTCTACATGTACTTGAAAGGCCCATGGAGATAAATGGCAGTGATGATATTTACTGCCCATTGCCGGAAAGAAACCTCCTAGAAGACACTCTGTGAAGCTCTGATGGCCCGACGGTGGTGTCCTCCAGGCCCGGGACAGCGGTGCTGGGGTGGCCACCTCCACAGAGCAAGAAACCGCGGGAGCAGGGAAAGGAGTGGGCTGTTCACTCTGGCCCGCTGACACTGTTTGCTGGTTGTGGGAGTGGGTGTCCCGAGCACCCAGAGGGCTGGGCCCCCGCACCCTCTCCTGGCTGGCCTTCCCAACCAGGGTCGGTGTCCTCACGAGGTTTTACGTAGAAGCCGTGTTCTCAGGGTTTGTGATTTTGAGAGTCTCTCGTGGCTTCAGAATTCACAGAAAACTTGCCCGATGCTACTGTGCTTCATTTTCACTGGAAAGAGCACATTTTTGAAGAGAAACTTTGTTATTAAAAGAACACCATTCCTTTTTCTGACCATTTTCCAATTACTTGAAAACACGAAGCAATAAGTATTCTGGATCTCCTCAGGACCACAAAATGCTGAGCACATCAGGATTGATCGGGGCCGCCGGGTTCCGGAAGGTGCCCGGGGCGGGAGCGGGATGCTGGTCTGAGAGCTGGGGAGCTTCCGTGAGTGTTCCTTCTTCATGTGAGCTGCCCGGGGCACTGGACCTCTGCCTTCACTCAGGATTTGATGCATCCTTCCTGGTTTCGCCAGCCCGCCCTGGGTCCACAATTAATAGGAAGGTTCCCTGTTCTATCTTGGTTCCCTGCCCTCCATTTCCTAAAAACTGTAACTTACTAAACTGTCATCAATTACTGTGTTAATTACAACAAGAAGATTAATAAAATTATATAAAGTCCAGTCATTTTGTCTTCAGTATGACTCCAGTGTATCCACACGGCTGCACTCTAGAAGTTCAGACGAGAACAGCATCTTGAGCCCTGAAACCTGCTTTCCACTAATGTTAACAATTTCGCAGCATCATGTACTCCCAGGCCTTGGCAGAGCTGTGCAACGAACAGTTTCCGTGTGAATCCGTGCACTTCCAGGAAGGTCATTCCTAGGTGTTGGATGTTTTGTTCATCGTGAGCATCCCCATATACATTCTGTAACTAGGATAAGTCAGAGCTATCCACGGTTGCATATTTGCCCCATCCAGCCATGCTGTTGGAGGTATTTTATGAGTTCCAGCGATTTTCTTTGGTTACTCCCAGTTCCCTTGCTTTGCAGTCATGTTGTTTGCAGACATGTCACGTTCTTGTTTGGGAGTATTTGAAGCTGTTGCTTTTGTTGTCTGCTTCTTACAGTAGCAGGACATTTGAAGACAATACTGAATAAAAGCAGGGATTATCAGGATTCACGTGTGATTTTAACAGGAATGCTTTTCTTTGAGATAACTATTTGGAGCATTCTTTTATTTTCTTGCACACTTATTGGCCTGTTTTCTTCTTTAGCCAATGGGATCATTTCTTTGCTTAAAGAATCCGTGGGCTTTCTTTTGAGATTTGCACAGGTACTCCGTAGATCAGAAATGAGGAGGAGGGCTTGCCAGCAGGTGTGAGAGGGCAGGACCTGGGAACACGTCCACTTGGACACTGATCTGGTGGGTGGTTTTCTTCATTAGTCAATCTCCGTTTATCTTGTTTTACTCTAACCTAATTTGTGTTATGGTGATTTCCCCTGTATCTTCTAACTTCGTATCTGCTTTTCTCTTGTGTTCTTGGAGATCTTGTCATTGGGCTCGTGACCGCTTAGGTGAGTGCCTCGTTCAGCTGCTTTCCCTGCGCTGTCTTCAGCCTTTAAGCCTGTGTGTTGCAAAGTGACACCAACCACGTTTTCCTAGAGTTGGGATCCTCAAGGGTCTCCTGCTATACTTCCTAGGTTTACGTGGATCTCAGTGTTTCTAGGAAATGTTTATTGGAAATGGTGCTTTTCTTTTTCTTTTCAGTCATTTGGGAGATTTCATTGAAAGGCTTTTTTCTTTTTTTTTTAAACCATTTTTTTTTTAATATTTATTTATTTGAGAGAGACACAGTGAGAGAGAGCATGAGCGAGGAGAAGGTCAGAGAGAGAAGCAGACTCCCCGTGGAGCTGGGAGCCCGATGCGGGACTCCATCCCGGGACTCCGGGGTCATGACCTGAGCCGAAGGCAGTCGTCCAACCAACTGAGCCACCCAGGCATCCCGAAAGGCTTTTTTCTTTTTCACACTTGTGGATGTGGTGGAGATTGTTTGCTATGACGTCTCTCCTTTTGCAGCCTCAAGCCTTTCATAGTGAGAATAAGGCCATTCTCTGTAGCTGATGCTGTTTACTCTGTAGTTTGTTCATTCAGGAATATTGATCATATTGTTAAAATTCTCTGCAACCTTATTTTTCTTCTGTGTCAGATTTTCCTTGTATTTCTAGAGTTGGTTTTTTTTTTTTGCTTTGTGTTTTTTTTTTTATTTAAATCCAATTAGCCTACATAGAGTACATCATTAGTTTCAGCAGTAGTGTTCAGTAATTCCTCAGTTGTGTGAAACACCCAGTGCTTTGTGTTTTGATGCGGGCATTCTGCAAAACTCTCTGGCTCTCCCTGCTAACAGCGTAAGGTGATCTTCCTGCTGAATGCTGCTTGCCTGGGATCCAGCTCTCATGTGGGAACTACCACTCTGCTGCTCTTATTGGCAGTTCATCCAGCATTTCCTGGCCCTTCCAAGCCTTCAGATGTCATTTGTGTGGTTATCTATAACAACATGATAAGCAGACTTTGCCATTGAATATGTTGGCTCAAATTCTCTCACTAACTGCTATACTGAGATGCCGTTTATCATATTTTCTGTTTTTATTATTTGTTTGCAACTTCCTTTCTTTTTTACACTTTCTACAATGATTTAGAAAGGTATTTTCTTAAAAAAAAAAAGCCACATTAGGAATGATTTTTATGTTTTTTAGAAGTACACTTAAAAGTCCCCAATTCATTATGATGAACTACCCCTCCTGATCCCCACCGGCTGGAATCACTGTGAGGGAACTGAAGGGCACAGGGCTGGCACTGATCAGGCGGGGAGGGGGCTGTGGCGACAGCGGCCCACAGTGTGCCCTGGGGAAATGGCCAGTCCTAATGCCAGGGCTGACGGAAGAGGGAGGTGCCTCGCACAGCAAGGTGAAAGCCAACTGGACTTCCTCAGAGCAGACAACAGCGCCCCCTCCACTCAAGCACCCCACCAACAGCCCAGAAAACCCAGAAGCTATGTACACACCCGCTTCTGGGAAACACACAGTGGGAGCCGGGTCCTTTCATAAATAAAAATGAGCTATTTGAGAAGAACCAAAGTTGGCATCCCAGAAAGAAACATTCCCCACATTGGGTTCCTGGGGAGCCACCGGTGTAGGAGCTGGTCCCCTTCTGCCTCATGTCGCACCAGGGCCCAGGCAGGCAGGGTCTCCTCAGGTACAGGTTTCTACCCAGCTTTCCTGGAGCCTTTTCAAATACGGGACTGACGACCAAGGACCACCAGGTAGTGAAGTCTACGTCATGAAAGGAAAGCATAGGCCCCTGGAAAAACATCACTCCCGAAGCAAAAGGGAAATATTTTAGGAAAAAAATAGAGGAGCTTGGGCATCGGTGGGTGCGTAGGCAGAGCATCACGTGCCCCAGAACGGGCCTCCACAATGTGCAGGAACCGACCCTCGTAAGACGGACGAATTGCATCCAAATACATAAGGAACTCTCAAATTCCAACAATAAAAATTTTTAAACAATCTTTTTAACGGACAAAAGATTTGAATGGATCCTTCCCCACAGAATACACACACGTGGCAAGTAAGCACAGGCAGATGCTCGCCCTGTTTGGTCATGAGGGAAGCGCCCATCAAACCGCAGGGGGACACCACTATCTATTGACCTCTCGGAATAACTTTCGTTGAAGAAAATGACCAACAGCGGCTTGGCGAGGACGCAGAGGCTCTGAGACACGCACCCTGCCAGTGGGAAGCACCGCAGTGAAAGCATTCTGGCAGTTTCTTGAAAGTGAAATACACCCTTGCTATCGGACGCAAGTATGTCACTCCTAGGTAATTAGTTACCCAGGAGAAGAGAAAGCATGTATCTAATTAAAGACTTTTACATGAACGTTCAGAGCAGCTTTATTTGCAACCGCCCCAAACCGGAAACAATCCTGCTGTCCTTTAGCAAGTGAATGAC